CAGAGGGGCCGAACCCCCTAGCCCGCTCCTGGGCTCCCCTGGCCCCTCCGGAGCGCTGTATCCTGTCACTTCCCCGCGAAGGGAGCACATACATGGCTGCATGACGTTTTCCAAGCTGTACGTTCCTTAGGGCATGCAGTCTTAATAGAGATACTAATTAGATGCGGCCGCTTCGAGCAAAGGTAAGCGACCTTTGCTCCCATGGTTGTGGGGCAGGTCTGCCTGAGCCTGGCGTGGTTGGTTGTCTAGAGGGTACATGAAAACACAACCGCACCTGAGGAGTGCACATCTGCTATGTGGGGAAAAAAAAAAGTCATCTGAAAATTACTGCATAATACTGCATGATTCTGTGAAATAAGGACACTCACAGAAATCCTTAATTGGAGCTCCCTGTTTTTTTGCTTCCCAGGGGCTTGAAATGAAGCAAGTTCTTCTATTCTAAAACTCAGTGGGCTTGATTCTAAGTACTTGGTAAATCTGCTGAAAGTAGATCACATTTTTCATGTGTTTGTTTTTTTTGTTTTGTTTTTTTTTTTTTTTTGTGGGGGATGTTTTCCTTTTTGTAGGAGATCACAATGGCCCAAAGGTTGTTTAGATCACATTTGCTCTTCTGCTTTCTGGCTGCATTCTTCATCTCTGCCCTTGCTGAGGAACACGTAGGAGAGAGTCAACATGCAAATATTCGCCTCGATAAGAATTTGGTACAAGATAAAGAGTATGTGTTCCATGTTCTAAAAACGTAAACTTTACTTCTTAATGATTTTCTTATCTCTGAAGTCTTGTTACGTTGGACTTAAGCCTAGGGCACCCTGTTTCCTCAGAATGTTGTATGACTAGCTAAAACCAGATATGAGACGTGCTTGCTTGATAAATTTGTAGAGATATGAGACCTAGAAAGGTCTCTTTGGAACCTTTAGCCCTACTCATACTATAAAGAACTTCTTACAGAGGTCCTGCTTACCCAGATCAGCATACTTTGGACAAAATCATATTCTTAACAGGTAGAGTTAGAGGGTTTTTTCTCATTTTCTTCTTCATACATGCAGAACAGTTCTAGCAGTAAATAAAACTCCCTAGAACACTTCATGGTTGACTGGGAAAGGTCTTTGTCCAGCTCCTGTGCTTTGGAAGACAGCCAAAGGAGATTTTGGGCACTGCTTCCATTGATTTGAAAGCCTGCTAAGTAGGCCAGAAGAAACAGAAATAGCTATCTAAGGTGTTAAGGCCACTACAGCACCTGTAACAAACAACCTCTGTGTCCCCTTCATCTTTATATCAGACTGTAGCTTTTAGTTATCCAGGGTGCTTTTAGAATAGTATTCGATCAAAGACTAAATTTGATGTAAACAGAGCATGACATATTAACTGACAGAAATGTTGTAGATTTTGTTTGTCTTTGGGGTTTTTTTTTTTTTTTTAGGCACATCATGGAACACTTGGAAGGTGTCATTGAGAAACCAGAAACTGAGATGTCTCCACAAGAGTTGCAGCTCCATTACTTCAAAATGCATGATTATGATGGCAATAACTTGTTAGATGGGTTAGAGCTTGCTACTGCTATATCACATGTCCACAAGGAGGTAGGTGTAATTTTGTAAGGGCATGTGTGTTTGGAAACAGCTCTGTCACTGAAAGCAACTTACAATAGAACGGAACAATTGCAACACATCTTCAGTGCAGTTAAGAGTTTTGCCTGAAAATGAGATATTTTTCTTTCCCCCTGATAGTTCTAGTTGCATTTATAAATGTACCGGCTTTATCACAGCTTTTCATGTCACACTGCGGTTTTCAAGAAGTTTCCATTGTAGTTTAAACTTTAGAATGAGGAAGGGCTGTAAAGTGAAAATGATTTTACAGAGGGCCTGTTTTGGTATGCAGGGATGGGGAGGAAGGGAAATTATCCAAAATGGGACATGAGGGTTTATAGAAATAGCATGTGATATGACGCTGTTTTCAGTGTCAGACTGTCACTGCTGTGGATACACAGACTGTAGGAGATCTCTT